CTAAATGCTTACCATTAGTTCGCGAGCGTCTCAATGTAACGTAAAATCTTCAAAAAGTATTTCAGTTCCCGTTTAGCACGGGCCCTTGGGCTGCATAATGGTGTAGGACCCCTCTTGTTTAGCCCTTATAATGGCAGGAGTGTTCAAATATTGTTTCTTTTCCCATTTTGCATATGCTTCCCTTGTCGAGCTAAAGTGGGAGAACATTTACCAGCGCTTTTTTCTCAATCGTAGGAAACCCGCTCGTAGGAAATGATGAAGTGGCTTGCTCCGGTTACCACTTACAGTGGTTGTCACAGAAATCAGTCTGGGCGTGTCAGCGGCGTGTGGGTTTTGACCGACGCCAGCCTCTTTCTTATTACCACTGCACGGCCCAAGCCCAATCATCGATGAAAACTTGAAAGACACTGCGCCGAACCCATGCCCCGTCTTATTTCGATGATAACGACTGTACACAGTCAAGGGATCAAGTCTTGACCGGTTCCCGTCCAGGTCAACGAAGCGTTCTATTTCTTCGGGGTCGGTTGGTAAGTACTACATCCATACGGGACAAATATACTGACAAGGCAGTCATAATACGCTGCACTGGTTTAGCGTAGCGGTAGCGAGCGAGGTGCTTCAAGCGACAAAATGATATACATCAGGGTTTTCCTGTGCATCGCCGCTCAATGGGCCGCGCGCGACGGTGCGACAAGTTACGATTGTCTTGTCTGTCTCCTCGACAGGATGAGAAATTGTTTAGATGGATTTGTGGTGTAAAAACCTTTTAAAACTTCGTTGACCTTGTCGCGTTATTAGGAAAGGGAGAAATATTGAGAAAGCGGGGCTCTGTTGATGACCTAAAAATCGTATTCGTTTTTGCGTCTCGTGTAGAAGGATGTCGTAGTCACAATCTTCTAAATTATTCACCTTATTTTACTTACTCATTATTCAATTTAATTATTTGTTATTTGCTGGCCAGTGAATTGTTCAGTTGGAAGAATAAGAGTAGCCTGCGTATACACTTGTTTAGGTTGAGCTGAATCTCATTGAACCCTTACCAGTGAAAGAGGCGAAACCGAAGCGATCATACAAACGGCAGGCACAGGTGAGAAATTGATTTGAATATGAAACCAGTTTTTCTCGTGGTTATACTTTGTTAGGCAATTGATTGTTGTTTTCGAACCTTCACTAGGCACAGTTGAGCGACGGGGGAGGGGGTAAGGGGCATTTTGCCTTTTTGCTACTTCCCACTGATGTGTTGAACCATCAAATGGATATCTGTGAGATCTTGTGGAGCCGCGAAATGGTACCAGCCGAAGTTTTAGAGACTACCTGTCCCTCGTAACTAGTACTTGTCAAGTCCTCAAGTCCTGTAATTCGTGATGAAATTCATTTTATGAGCTTAGAAGAGTTGACAAGTTTCACCAGAGTAAGACTTGTAAACTGTGACTAGCGAGGCAGCGAAAGGCAAAATGCCCCCTCCCTCCCCGTCGCAGAACTGCGCCCCTTCATTGGTATTTTTTTTTCAAGGGTTCTCCACGTACGCCACGTTCTACGAAAGCTCGTCAGAGTGGTCCATCCAAAGAGTCCGCGGGTGAAGAAACAGAGGTACGGAGTGTTTCGACAGATTTTTTCTGTTAAATCGATGATTTATGATAATGTATGATACGTTTTCGTTCTGATGAAATGATTCGTTCAGGAACACGAGCACATTAACACCGAAGACGAAACAAATGTTAATGAGGTGGCTAATGGTTCTGGTGAAGCGGAGATGGTGAGTTTCATTCTGTAGATCGATGAGTGTTTGTAATTCCTATTTGTTTTTTC